AGTTTTTTTTTTTTTTCTATGTGAGGAGGAATTTTGCTGTTTTGTTTTCATAGGGATTTTGGTGGTGTGTTTGCTATTAATATGTCTGGGGTAGGGAGGGAGGGAGCGAGCAGGTCTCTACAGCTCAGAGGTTAGCATGTGATCAGCTGTTTTCTACTTATTGCAGGCAGCTTTGAGGTTAGAAAGGGAAAAAGAGGTGATGTCTATTAGTAGGCTGGTTGATACAGTGGAAAAATACAAAATGTATTTCATGCACATCAGCTCTTTTTCAAGTCACAGTGCTTTAGAAATCAGAAAATATGTGCAGATGAGATTTTCAGTGATTGATGGCCCAGCTGCTAATAGAGATACTCAGCAGAAGAAAGAAAAACTACACAATTTTCTTGTCTGGAGGTGTGCTGGATGGTTTGGTGGTTTTCATCTTCTTTTGATTACTGACCCAGCTTTAGGCCTCTTGGAAGTGATCCAGACCTAAACTTTAGCAGAAAATCCTTTAGCAGTTTTCCATGGTGCTTTAAAAGGTGTAATTGGCATGATGCCATATTTTGTGCCATCTTCTCTTGTGCAGATTCTGGTTACTGTTTCAGCCTCTCTGTCACCTCTTCTTTACAGAAAAATCTCTTTAAAGCCCCACTCTGCCTTGCAGGGAATGCTGAATCCCACCATCAGTGTTAATAGGTAGATTTAGTTTCCAAATCTCGGTGATGACACTGTGGTGGTTTGCTTGGTATGCACGAGTCAGCAAAGGTGCAGAGAACAAACCAGGAACTATTTTTTGATTGATGGAGAAATAACATCTTTTAAAGCTGCCTCTAGGTCGCGTGTGAAAAAAATCTTGTGTGAGCACGTTGGACTGTTCTGACTTGAAAAAGTCTGCAATTTAGTGTCTTCATGAGCAAGAAAGGTTTTCTTTTTGTCATTTAGCTGATGGGGGAAATATCATGAAAATATGGCAGTCGTGTTGCACATTCTTGTAACTGATTGTTGTTTTAGATCTTAAACCTATTTTGGATGATTCATGCAGAGCCAGGCCAGTAAATTAATTCAGAGGCTCTAACACCAGGGAACTTTGGCTCTTATTTCAGGCAGAAGTGTACCAATGGGGAGTGGAATTAGATAGGAAAAATATTTAATAATACTACAAAAGTCAAGTCATAGTCTGGTTAACTGAGGAGGTTTCTCTCGCTGGCAGCTGGAAAATCCTGCAATGCACAAGTACCAAAGCAGAAGGGATCTGTATTTACTTCCCTCATTCCTTGGGCTCTCTGGAGTGACAAATTAGGGAGAGAAGACAAAGGGTGAGCTGAGTTTTGAGGAGAGGCCTGAATGGAGGCAAAGCACATGACAATTAGAGGAGACTGTCATCTCTAATTAGGTGTGTGCCCTCAGGCACTTCGTACAGAGTAAACAGGAGGGTAAATGTAAACTGAAACAAGGTGGGAAGTTTGGAAGGCTGTAGACGGACATGCACGGTTTGGCTGTCAATCCCAAAGCTATTCCTTAAACCTGTGTTGAGGGATTCAGCAGGGCCGAAGGTGGCCGTGAGCAGCAGCGATCCCGCCGGACAGCGGCCGCCCTGCCCCAGCCCCGTCCCCACGCTGAGGGAAGGGCTTGTGAGGGAGGCGGCCAAAGGGCTCAGCTCCCCTTCTTGGCAGAGAGACACACACAGATAACAGGTCATAGGTTATTTTTTCTGATGGTTTTCTTCAGAAAAGGCAGAAAAATTGACTTTTAATTAGAGATGTCTACAGCACGTGGAGGAGGAACCAGGCACAGCTGCCGCGTTTCCGCGGCCCCCCCAGGGCTAGCACCCAGCACCCCCAGGCGCGATGT